GTTCTTTAGATTAATCAGTTGGACTGTGTTGTTTTTCTCCTGATCAGAAAGAAATCATTTTTCAGTAAATGTTACCTTGAATCAAGGATTCTTCCACATTCTAGAAGCTTGGATGAGCTGCTTATATTAAGTCTTACTGTGCCCCCTAGTGGCGAATAGAATTTATGCACTCAAAGGACAATCCCTCCACAAAGGCTTGCGATAAAATACAAAAAATTTGTTTTGCCGGGCGCGGTGGCTCAAGCCTGTAATCCCAGCACGTTGGGAGGCCGAGGCAGGTGGATCACGAGGTCAAGAGATCAAGACCATCCTGGTCAACATGGTGAAACCCCGTCTCTACCAAAAATACAAAAAACTAGCTGGGCATGGTGGTGCGTGCCTGTAATCTCAACTACTCAGGAGGCTGAGGCAGGAGAATTGCCTGAACCCAGGAGGCGGAGGTTGCAGTGAGCCGAGATCGCGCCATTGCACTCCAGCCTGGGTAACATGAGTGAAACGCCGTCTCAAAAAAAAAAAAAAAAAAAATTTGTTTTAATCTTTATCGATCACTTAACATGTTACACAATTTTGTGCCAGATGCTGAGAATATAAAAATGGGTCTGGCTCAGAAAGCTTAAAGTCTAGCTAGGTGAAGCTGATATGGTTCCATGGCTACTTATGTTAAATAACACATGCGCACATATCATTGAAGGAAGGAAATTCCTGGGGAAAAGCAAGAACTCAAGCACACACTAAGCGCCAGCTACATGCCAGGCACTGCACTAGGTGATTCACATCTAATATCGTTTACTTTTCACAAAAATCCAGCAAGGCACGTATAACGCTCTCCACTTTTCAGATACTCAAATGGAGGCTCAGAAGCGAGGTAACTTGCCAGAGACCAGACAGCCAGGAGCTGGCCACAGAGGAAGGGCCCAACCAGGTCTCGTCACCCTGCCCTCAAGCTCTTCCCTCCCTCCTGATCCAGCAGGGGCCCAGAAGGCACTCTGGCAGATTTTAACCAAAAAGCAGGGAGAAAGCACCCTGGGAAGGAAGCGCCGAGTTGGGGAGTACGCTGCTGCACCAGCCTCTTCCAGCTCATTCCCACTGCACTCACCACCTGCTCTCCTCCAGGGACTAGGCTGCAGCCAGCCAGGACTCCTGCCTGCGCCCAAGGCCCTGTCCCCACTCCAGACCCGCCACCCATACCCACACACTGCCTTCCCCAGGTCACCAGGTCCTCAAGATCTGCCATGCTGCCCCACCTCTGACACCAAGGAGAGAAAAGAACACCACACGCCGCCCAGCCGGGCCACACACAAACCTGGTGGCCCAGCAAGCCTGAGGCCTCAGCCAGGACTTCTGTCCACAACTCCCGCCCGGCTCTCACCCAGTTCCCAATCTGTCTTCCCATCCTAGCTCCTCCAGCCCCTGCCACACACTCTTCACACTGAAAAGTTGCTCAAAGTCAATTTGCCCAAACGCAATTTGCCAAATAACCCCATCACTGAAAACTGTCAAATATCTTAAAACAGAGAGAGCCCTGGCCCACCGTTTATATCTATGGCTTATAAAAGCCTTGATGTTAATGGCAGCACAGTAAAAAGAGGGTCAGGAGATGCCGACCCCAGCAGCCATGCTGGCCCCGGCCCAGCCTCACGACAGCAGAGTGCTCTGCCCTGGGAAGGCACCCAGGGTGCACAGTGTGGTGGGGGGACTCCTGGAAGCTGTCTGGCAGCCCAAGGGGCCAGTGCCAGCGTCATCACCTGCAGCGCACACCATCTCCTCGGGACAGGCGGGCACAGCAGCGGACCCTGGCCCCACCCAGTGCAGCCCCACAGACCTCGACCCAGGTCTCTGACTCCCAGCCCAGGAGCAGGGATTCCTACCACAGTCCCTCAGTCTGAACCGCCTCGCTGTTATTCCAAGCTGGGCCAGCTGCGCCCTCTTCTGGTCATGAGGTGTCACAGTTAGTTGGCTGCTCACAGCTTCCACTCCATGGGGGCAGAAACATATCCCAACATCCACGTCTACTCCAAAAGGTCAAAAATCAGTGCCTCCACTCAGGTGCTCTCTGCTCAAAAACGAACATGAGGATGCTTCTGTTTAGGAAGTCTCAATTTCCCAGGCAAAAGTGACCCAAGCTGCCTCCCTGCCAGCAGGGCCCAGAGAACACTTGACAACACCGGACGGAAGCCAGTCCCACAGGGCTCCAGATCTGCTCCTCACCATCAGGACAGAGGACTCTGGAGGCGAGGAGGCAGGTGGGCATCCACCAGGACACATCTGCCGCCCCACATCTCTCCAGGAGGCAGTGCCCTGAGTGGAGGGCATACCACCCATCTCTGCCTATAACTAACCTCTCCTCCAGCCTGTGCTGCCATCGGCCTGGCTGCCCTCTCCCTCCCTCTGAGTACCACCCCTCAGCCAGGACTACCTTCCACAAAGCCCCTGCCACATGCCAGCACCTAGACTGGGCACCTTGGACGCCACCATTCACTCCAACTCCAGCCCATCCACTGCTCCACGGCACTGACCCAAGAAATGAGGCTGCAATCACCCCTGCAACAAGAGACAAGGGCAGGAGGCCTTGGGCCCAGCTCCCAGGGCCCACAGGCAGCAGCGGGGAGCAGCACATTCAAACAGCGGACAGTCATGAGGACACCCAGAAGTGAGAGGCTGGACGTGAGGACACCCTGCCAACCTGCCAAATTCCCAAGTGGGGGGATTTGCGTGTCTTGATCACTGCTATTTCTCCAGCCCCTAAAACGGGACATTGCACAAAGCTAGAGCCCACTAAACACGTATTCACTGGACCCAATGGGGAGCTTTTCAGAGAAGATGGCTTTCCAGGCTGGGCATCGGCTGTGGAGCAGGTACCTAACAGGCAGGAAAGTAAAGGGAGGGGACCCTCGAGAGGGCGGGGCATGACAGAAGCATGGAGGAAAGAAAGTTTCCCCCTCAACAGGAAGGCGAGTGCCCGGAGGACAAGGGCCACCACTCAAACTCCAGGGCCAGCCAGACAGTGCCCAGGCCCACCAGCAACCCTCCAATGGGTTCCCCACTCTCCAGCCCCTGCAGCACAGACTTGGGAAAGAAAGCGGAGAAGCCCCAGGACCACAGGGTCAATGCCAGCACTCTGTGACCCACACCAGGGATGCCAGAAGCCTTCAAACACACTTCACAGTACCCAGTGTTGCAGGAAAAGCACCAAAAACCTGAGTGAAAATCCCGGAACGCCAGGCTGAAGAGAGAATATGACTTTCTTTCCCCCAGGACTCTATGAGTCTTGCCAGAAAAGAACACAGACAAGCCACTTCAAGACTACAATTTGCCATTTAAAAATGACACCCATCAGGCCGGGCACAGTGGCTACCCCTGTAATCGCAGCACTTCGGGAGGCCGAGGCAGGCAGATCACAAGGTCAGGAGTTCGAGACCAGGCTGACCAACCTGGAGAAACCCCATCTCTACTAAATATACAAAAATTAGCCAGGAGTGGTGGCACACACCTATAATCCCAGCTACTCAGGAGGCTGAGGCAGGAGAATTTCTTGAATCCAGGAGGCAAAGGTTGCAGTGAACTGAGATTGCACCACTGGACTCCAGCCTGGGCAACAGTTGAGTGAGACTCCATCTCCAAAAAACAACAAAAAAATGACACCTATCAATTCGGCTCATTTCAAAGACATCTCTATACTTGGAGCTTCCTTTCTTCACTTTAGAAAATGTTTCCTAGGGAGAAAAGCTCAAAACGTAATTTGCAAATGAAGTGATCTAGGAAAGTTGGTTCCAGAACTCTGAGGAAGCAAGGGCAAGGGAACCACCATTTACTGAGCCCCTGTGAGGTACCTAGCTCTGTGCAAGGCACTTTTCCAGCATTTTTCTCATATGAGCACATGACCAGGTATGATTCTGCCCTTTTACAGAGGAGACACCAGACTCCACGGGAAGGCGGCCAGGCCAGTGGTCGACCAGCTAGCTACTCTGTAGCAAAGCTGATGTGAAGCCAAGTCCCTCAAAGGTATTTCCTTCCCAAGAGCTTTTTGTTCAGTTGGCATTTAACTGGCACCCGCTACATTTCAGGTGCTTTGCTAGCCACGAGGAGAGAGAGGAGGGATGCACTGCACAGCGAGAAGGGCTGGAGGCAGGTCCCCAGCGGGCACAATGACCCACCACACTGTACCTGCATACTGTGGGGACGCATTACTATTACTTCAGTAGACTGGAAAATAAATAAGACAATGCAAAAAGGATTTTCCATGTAAAACCGGAAGTCTCTAGAAGAACATGTGCAACCCTCCCTGACCTTGCTTCCCCGGCCTCCAGTCCCTCACACGCTCATGCTTGAAGCCAGCTCCCAGGCCCTCATGCTTAGAGCCGATGCATACACAAGGCTCCTGCAGCCAACGCGCCCTCCTGCCCCCATCCCCAAGCAAACCTTCCCCTCCCTCAGGAGGCTTTTGCCGAGCCCTCCTGGACTAGGCTGAGCCCCTCCCACTGGGCTCCCAGAGCACCTGTGTGTCCTACTGGGGGACTTATCCTCAGGGCCCAGGGTTGCATTTGTCTACCTGTCAATGGCTCCTGCCACATTGCACAAGCCTAACACCCGGGGCCGGGTCTATCTGCCTCTCCCAACAGCTCCTGAAACCCGCATAGCACCGGGCACAGAGCTGGCATGGCTCAGTGCTCCATAGGGTCACAGAGGATGTCCCCAGTCCCCAGGGCTTGGTCCTGGGCCTGCTTCTCTTCTCCTACTAATCACTCTCACGGCCTCCGAGAGGGATAAGGAGCAGTATCCTCTGGCGACCTGAGCAAAGCAGCATCAGGGAAGGGGTGGGGCAGGAGGGACTCACGACCCTGGGCTGACCACAGATGACCATTTTCCGGATGCAACAAAGAAAATTACAGAAATCTACACACACACAAAAGTTCAGCCTGTAACCTCCTTCCGCTTCACTGTTACTCCAGCAGTGTATTCCTAAGACCATCTGAAAGCGGAAGTTTTCACTCAAGTCTTACCTTGAAAGTTTTATCCATGGAAGTGGAGAGAAGCATGTGGCTCTGAGAAAGCACTGGACACCACTGAACGCTGTTGACAGGGCCCCTATGGCCTCTCAGGTAGAAGAGCACTTTCCGCGGAACCGTGGTTTCTTTATAATGGCTGTTCAAATATGGCTGAATAAACTCAGACACTCTGGGGGCCACACAAAGAGGGGCTGGGGCCCGCCCTGCAGGGCGCCCCTGTGGCTCCGCCTCGTTAGCCTTGCCTGTTTCCATGCGTAACGCAGGCAGCTGTCTTAGTCTTTTGGGGATATAGGGTACGACATCGTCCTCACACTTCTTCTTCTGCAAAGAGCTGCCATTTTTACCTACGGTTTCAGACTCACTTTGAGCACGGAAAGATGACTTGGAAAAGTCCCTGAAGAGTTTTACTTGCTTAAAGCGTGCAGCTGCCAGGGGCATGTGGCTGGCTGGAACATGGCTCGTCCACAGAGAAGAATGAGAAGGCTCGTTGGTGGGGAAGGTGACTTGAGGCTCCTTCCCGGGCCACTGTAGCCTCTGGCTAGGGCAAGATCCCCGATCGCTTCTCCCAAGCCAAGCCAGTGGGAGGTGATGGCCGCCTGGGTCCCCGCAAGAGCCATGCTTTGTGGGCTGTGCCCCTCCTTTGGGTACATCCAGTGTACCAGATGCAAAATCCTGCCCAGGCGGTCTGGCCGTACCAGAAGTGTCTTTCACCTGGCCCATGGCATTCAAACTTCCTGCAGGCTCTGTCTCAGCCTCCGAGTCCGAATCATCATAAGCTACCAACGAAGCCATTAAAGACAGAGTTCTTGCTGTTCTTCAAAGCCAAACCACCTAAGATCAAACAAAGTCACGTATCAGAAAATGTGCATGGAAGAATATGTGTGTAGTTATAAGAAAACATGTCACCTAGGAAATCCAACAATTCAACACTCACAAAAATAAACACAGGTCGGCCAGGCACGGTTGCTTACACCTGTAATCCCAGTACTTTGGGAGGCCAAGGTGGGCAGATCACGAGGTCAGGAGTACAAGTCCAGCCTGACCAACACGGTGAACCCCCCGTCTCTACTAAAAATACAAAACTTAGCTGGGTGTGGTGGCGTGTCGTGTAATCCCAGCTACTCAGGAGGCTGAGGCAGGAGAATGGCTTGAACCCAGGAGACGGAGGCTGTGGTGACCCAAGAGCCTGCCACTGCACTCTAGCCTTGGCGACAGAGCAAGACTCCATTGTCTTAAAAAAAAAAAAAAAAAGAACAAACACAGGCTGGGCACAGTGGCTCACCCCTATAATCCCAGCACTTAGAGAAGCCCAGGCGGGCAGATCACCTGAGGTCAGGAGTTCAAGACCAGCCTGGCCAACATGATGAAACCCCATCTCTACTAAAAATACAAAAATTAGCTGGGCGGGGTGGCAGGCATCTGCAGTCCCAGCAACTTGGGAGCCTAAGACAGGAGAATTATTTGAACCTGGGAGGTGGAGGTTGCAGTAAGCCAAGATCACACCATTGCACTCCAGCCTGGGCGACAAGAGCAAGACTCCATCTCAAAAAAAAAAAGAGGCCGGGCTATGCCATGCCCTTCCTCGCGTGAGCAGCTGCCGCAGCAGAGGCAGCATCCAGCAGCAGTGCCAGCAGTTCCAGCTGGTTGCTTTACTTTTGCTTCACGAACATAGTCATTGTGCCGAAGAGAAAGTCTCCAAAGAATGCAGAGGGCAAAGATGGATCCAAAATAACTAACCAGGAGCCCACAAGACGGTCTGCCAGATTGTCAGCGAAACCTGCTCCACCAAAACCTGAACCCAAACCAAGAAACACATCTTCTAAGAAAGAACCTGGAGCAAAGATTAGCAGAGGTGCTAAAGGGGAGAAGGAGGAAAAGCAGGAAGCTGGAAAAGAAGGCACAGAAAACTGAATCTGTGGATAACAAGGGAGAATGAATTGTCATGAAAAATTGGGGTTGATTTTATGTATCTCTTGGGACAACTTTTAAAAGCTATTTTTACCAAGTATTTCGTAAATGCTAATTTTTTAGGACTCTACTAGTCAGCATACAAAAATCTATAAGGATGGACATTTTACCCTCTCATAGTCATGCTTTTTAGAAATTTACATCATCCTCAAGTAAAATAAATACCAGTTTCATATTGGAAGCTGTCAGATTGATTCAGCATCCATGCACTTGCTTTAAAATTTCGTCCTGGGCCGGGCGCGGTGGCTCACGCCTGTAATCCCAGCACTTTGGGAGGCCGAGGCGGGTGGATCACACGGTCAAGAGATCGAGACCATCCTGGTCAACATGGTGAAACCCCGTCTCTACTAAAAATACAAAAAATCAGCTGGGCATGGTGGTGC